CAAGTATGGTGACCCATACTCAGAATTAGTGCTCTGCATTTATCCCATCCAAAGTGCACACACACAGCAGTGAACAAACACACGGAGCAGTGGGCTCCATTTTTTGCTGCGGCACCCGGGGAGCAGTTGGGGGTTTGGTGCCTTGCTCAAGGGCACCTCAGTCGTGGTATTGAAGGTGGGAGAGAGCGCTGTACATTCACTCCCCCCACCTACAATCCCTGCCGGTACGAGACTCGAACCCGCAACCTTTGGGTTACGAGTCCGACTCTCTAACCATTAGGCCACGACTTCCCTCAATGCCTAGAGGCACTTAAGTCTATTATTAAGAAGTGGAAGGTATTTGGTACAACACAGACCCTCCCTGGATGCGGGCGTCGCTCCAAACTGGATGAAATAGCCAGGAGCAAACTGGTCAGAAAGGCTACCAAGAGGCCTACAACAACTCTGAAGCAGTTGCGGGAATTTATGACAAAGACTGGTCAATGTGTGCATGTAACAATATCACAAATTTTCCACAAATGTGGCTTGTATGGGAGGGGTGCAAGAAAAAAAGGCACTACTCAAGAAAGGCCACAACACCAAATGATATGTCTGGCGGAAATCTAATACAGCTCACCATCCAAATAACACCATTGCTACAGTAAAGCATGGAGGTGGTAATATCCTGTTATGGGGGTGTTTCTCTGCAGCAGGGACTGGAGCACTTGTCAGGATAGAAGGAAAAATGGATGGGGCAAAATACAATCAAATTCTTGAGGAAAATCTGCTGCCCTCTGCCAGAAAGTTGTCAATGGGAAGGTTTACTTTTATCAGCAAAACTGACCACTGGTTGAAGGAAAAAAAGGTGAATGTCCTTGCATGGCCTAGTCAGAGCCCAGACTTAAACCCCATTGAAAATCTATGGAATGACTTGAGGACTACAGTCCACAAACGCTCACCATCAAATTTAACTGACCTTCAGCAGTTCTGCAAATAAGAGTGGGCAAATAATGCAAAGTCTAGATGTGCAAAGTTAGTAGACGACATATCCCAACAGACTAAAGGCTGTAATTAAAGCAAAAGGTGGTTCAACAAAATACTGACGCAAGGGGGTGAACCTTTTTCCAATTTAAAACAAAAAAGGCTGGGTGTTATGATGATGTACGCTGTGTGAAGGTCTGTCAACCAGATGAGTTTGTAAAATATTTTATATACAAATCTTAATAAATTTTTATTAAAAAACATTCTTTGTTTTACAAGGTTTCAAATATGACTTATCTGGTCATATTCATAGTTTGTAAGTTTATATACAAATCTTAATTATTTTTTATATATAAAAAAAAAACTCCTTTGGTTTACAAGGCTGTCTGGTCATATTCATAATGTTTTGATATTTTTTTTTAACTATTGCATAATGTGAAATGTTGATGCCAGAAATATTTATTTGTCCTGAATTATCTTTTATTGTTTTGCATCCATCAAAAAAAGAGATTAGATATCTTTAGTATTTACGTCACTAGACATTACACCCCATGTCGTTTCAAACCCGTAAAAGCTTCGTTCGTCTTCGGAACACAATTTAAGATATTTTGGATGAAAACCGGGAGCCTTGTGATTACCCGATTGACTGCCAAGTAAATTACACTGTCAATGTCCAGAAAAGTATGAAAGACATCGTCAGAATAGTCAATCTGCCATCAGTGGTTCAACCGTAACGTTATGAAGCGACGAGAATACTTTTTGTACGCGAAGAAAACAAAAATAACGACTTAATGCAACAATTTATCTGGAACAATATGTCTCCGCATCACCGTAGCGCCATTTTGGAGAATAACCACTGAACGCAAGCAACGTACACTATTCTGTGTCAGCCCCGCTGCACGGATGCGCTGTTTTCGTTCAAATCAAAGCGTAAATACATGTAGAAAATGTATCCTTGTGTCGCGGCTGACACAGAATAGCGTACGCTGCTTGCGTTCGGTGGTTATTCTCCAAAATTGCGCTACAGTGATGCGGAAAGACACAGAGGAGACGAATTGTTGAATAAAGTCGTTATTTTTGTTTTCTTCGCGTACAAAAAGTATTCTCGTCGATTCATAACGTTATGGTTGAACCACTTATGGCAGATGGACTATTCTGACGATGTCTTTCATACTTTTCTGGACCTTGACAGTGTAATTTACTTGGCAGTTGTAACACAGTTTGTAGTCATGGGAAAAAGGAGGCGGGAACCGGCGAACATTTAAAGAAAACTTTAATAAAATAAACAAACACAAAATGAAAGTAAAGCGGCAGCCCCTCGCGGACGACTGCCGCACACAAAATAAAGTCCAGGCCTGGTCCTCTCTCGTCCAACACTGTCGTCACTCCTCCTTTTATCCTTCCGGAGCTCCTCTGTGGGACTCGAGACCGGTGAGTGGCAGGTCGCGCATTAGCATGTACTCCACCGGCCTTGCTCCGTTCCCACGGCTCTCGGCCCCGCCCCTCTCGTCACAGCAGTCAATCGGACAGTCACAAGCCTCCCGGTTTTCATCCAAAATATCTTAAATTGTGTTCCGAAGACGAACGAAGCTTTTAGGGGTTTGGAACGACATGGGGGTAAGTGATTAATGACAAAATTTTCATTTTGGAGTGGAGTATCCCTTTAAATTTCCAGAAAAATAAACAGTTAAAAGACTTTTGTCATATCACCTATCCCCATCTGAAAACATATCTGTTATCGATTTTTGTTGATATAATGGTTATTTTCACTACTATCAATAATAGCTGACTATTACAAAAAAAAAATAATCTTGAATTCTAGATTCACATGATGCAGTGATGCGGTTCAATGCTGCACCAACAACAGGCTTTGAGAAAGATGTGGGCTCTAAAACAACAGTGCGTCTGATCAATTCCCAGGTAGTTTGTTTGATAACTGGTGAAAAGATAAAATAACATGCAGTAACAAGGTCCTAAAAAAAATAATGTCTGTTTATTACATAGGTAATGGCATCTGAAGATTACCATTTCCTCTCCAGTTCTTTGTACAGTGCTGGGATTTTAGTGAGCTGGGATCCAGGCCCTTATTCCTCTGATCTACGAGAGGTAAGAACTAACTTTTCCACTTTCTAGCATTTGGCACATTCACAAACTTTCATGCTTATTTAGCAAGTTTCAACACAAAGGCCTAGTCTTAGCTTTAGTATGGTTCTTGCACTGCCTGGACCATGTGACCACTAAGCCACTCCTCGTTAGTATAGTGGTAAGTATCCCCGCCTGTCACACGAGGGCCAGAAGTTTGATTCCCTAACGGGGAGATGCAAAGGTTTTTTTTTTTTTTTTAATTATAAAATGTAAAAAACATTTTTCGAGTACAGTCATATATTAAATTTCTTTAAATGCTATAGATGGACAAAATAAATATTAGAACATCACTTGGAAACTTTTCATAAAAGAATTATAATAAATACAGTACCTATAATTTATTATATTTTATAAATAAATAAAAAAAATAAATATATACAGTATATATAACACACTAACTATAATTTACTCTAAAATACTGTTAAAAACGTTGACTACAATATTAAATAGCATCTTTTTACACACACACACACACACACACATTTATATTCTATTTTAGTCAACATGAAATGGATTTAATAAATGATCGTTATTGTGTATTGATCATTGAGATACTATTAGTTTTTGTTAGTATTTGGTTTTTTATTTTTGTATTTTCTGCTTTTTAATGTCAATTTTAGTTAAAGTTTGTCATTTTGTTGTGTGTTTTTGTAATTTGTATTACTTTGTGTTGTTTTTAAATGTCTCTCTCTCTCACTACTACCAGCGCTTCAGTGATGCAGCCTGCACCCTAGGTGCCTACCACCCTTTACTCTATGAGAAGAACCTGGTAAAGAGGATGAACAAGGGGTCTAACCGTGACATCTACACACATGGCAGGGTCACGCTCCCTGGGTTCACGACCTTTAACTGCACCAATAGTTCCACTTCCAGCACTCTGTCAAAGACATAATCTGAGGGTAAACTGATTTTCTTGGTACACTTTCATAATGTAACAGTAAATCACATGATTTAGTCTAGAGCCCGACCGATATGGGTTTTTTGGGGCCGATACCGATACCGATATTAGGGAATAAAAAAAAAGGCCGATACCGATATATCGGCCAATATTCTTTGTGTATATTATAGTACAGTACCAGTCAAAAGTTTGGACACTTTCCCATTCGTGTGTCCAAACATCTGACTGGTACTATATATAGAATACAGTATAGACATAAACAGAATATATATACATAAACACATTTTTTGCAATGATCGCTCAAATGTGGTGATCAAACACTTATAATGGTGACAGAGATATGTAAGGGCATTTAACAATTTAACAATAAACTTGCGATGAGTGCGCTGCACAAAGTAACGGGGTGTTAGTTGTAACACACTTTCAAGCATTTTATCTGCATTATATGTTCTGTAAAAAAAATGTTCATATCGGCGGCATATTCGCCGATACCGATATATCGGCGACAGGCTCATATCGGCCGATAATATCGGCAAAACGATATATCGGTCGGGCTCTAATTTAGTCTACAACTGTAACAAGTTCAGTCTGGTCTCTTGAGTGAGATCAGGATTTGGTTCACTGGTGGAAAACAAAAACCACTAACCACTAGCGGTTGCTTACTGAAGGGAACTTAAAATTCACACGGACACAAAATATTAATAATAATATTAATATAATAAGTTCTGTATATGTGTAAACTACCTTCCATCATTCCTTAACTGATCCCATAGTGGTAAATTCATACTATTTGCTGTTAACAGAAAAAAGATCTCGATACCACTTATCTGCCTCTCATGTGAGATGCAGCCACTGAAAATTACTTTCAAACACTGCCTAATGTGACACATTACAGCACTGATGTCAAAAGAACTGGCATTTTACAAACGCACTGAATCGTCAAACTAATACAGATTATTAAGACAAGATAAAGCTCTTTGTTGGAAAGTAGCCAAGATTCGGTCCATAAACGTGTAGCGCGCAAAGCTCTATGTCCAAAGCCAGCCTGCTACTTCCATAATGTGTAGGTTTACAATTTATGCAACGCAATCCTAACACATCATTCATGCAATATTGTTAATGATTTGCCAGCAAACACATGCCATTAGCAAAATAATGCTTTAACTGTTTGTTTTTATGAAAGCTGTATTTCAAGGCCTGGAGATCTGTATGCATTCGGTATTTACACTGTGACACCTTTCCTCTCTCTATAATTAGTTGTAGGGCCGTGGAGAATGTCCTCGCATGCTTTACTGAAATTGCACTACATCATACCTTTGGTAAACCTGTATTTAGTTGTATTTATAAACTTGGTGAGAAGGAAACACAGAATGTGCATGTTTGTCCTGTTTTATAGAGATTTGAATTCAATTTAAGCCCTTAAAACATGAAAGCAGATATACTTATGCATTTTGAGTGGGAAAAGGGTGTTTATTTTTCGTAGTATTATTTCTTCAGTGTGTTGATCCAGGATGTGTCAATGTATCACATCCATTATATTTACTCAAACACACAGATTACAGTATGTAAAAACCAAAACACAAACACTAATACAGATTGCATCTAGCGATTATGTTCTTACGAATTCTGAATGATGTGGGACAGGGCCTTTATATTCATATATTATTAAGTCTAAAAGTTAACATGAAATTGAAACTGACCTTTCAAAATCAAAATGTCATAACTTTGTACACTTCTGAAACAACTTTTCAGTCAACGCAAACGTTTCATGTTGACTTTACAGTAGAATTGTGAAGTTGAAATGTGAATTCAATTGGGGGAAAAGCATGATTTTCCATTTCAACATTTTAAACCTTATGTTCTTCTTTTTTCATGTAAAGGCATCTTTATGTGTAATTTGTAGCATACAGATTAATATAATAAATATATTTAAAAATTAAACATAAGAGTTAGCATAGAATGTATTTTTTTTGCTCAGACTACAAATAACTGTTAATTTATACAATTATTGCTGTTGTCTGCAAACTGGACTACTTCAAGTATAAATCAGATGTGTTTCCCGTAAATGAACTTTGTCATGTCTTACATGGGTAAACCAATTCAGATTGATCAAACAATCTGGGCTATGCACATGTAAACAACTGTCAAATGTATAGATGTTTTATTTGTATCTCAAATGTTTCTCCAATGCAATTACAGTTGTTGTTTTTTCCAAGAATCGTCCCTTTAAGCATTCTGTCGGTATTAAGGTTTTTTTTTTTTTTTTTACTCAGATTAACCCTCACATTACTAAGATTTGTTGAAATGTAGATTGTTTATGTTTAAATGCCAAAGTTATTGTGTGCACAGACAAGTTATTCAAATGAACTGTTGGACTCGATGGACTGATAAGATTGTAAAAATTTGTTGAAATGTAGATTGTTTATGTTTAAATGCCAAAGTTATTGTGTGCACAGACAAGTTATTCAAATGAACTGTTGGACTCGATGGACTGATAAGATTGTAAAATGATGCATAACTGAACAGAATCTTTGTGCTTTTTGGATAGTATGTTACTTGGATGACATCTGATGTCCTTCACTTACAGCAGAATGGGAACAACCACTTCTCTATTATACATTACTGGAACACATACAGATTTATCTTAATCCAGCTTAATGCATGGTTCACAAGTTTAGGCTATTACTAGGAAATCAAGTGGGACATTGTGTGCTCTAAAAAGGTGAGCACGAATATCTAGGTCTCTGTTAACTAGCTGGTGAGGACACTGTAACCTGAGACCTGGCCAACAAATCTCATCATGAATGGCAGCGATATATTTAGAAACATTGTTACTGAAATGCTCTCAACATGACAACATTTCCGTTTAATTTGTTCACAACCATAAGTGTTTTTCCTGTGTACAAAATTCCTGTGTGCCACCATAACTTTGTCAATGTTATTGTTTCAATTTATATGCTCTATGCAGTACTGTACAGCAATGTCTTCAAAGTCTAGAATGTAATGTGATAAATTCTGGCGAAGACAAACTTGTTTCTCAAAACAAGAAGTAATTTATAAAAAGGAATTGTATCAAGAACACTCGATGCCATAGTCAATTATTGTACTGCTTTAACCTTTCAATTGTATTAAAATTAGTAAATTAATTAAAAGTATCATTACGATTCAACATGTATATATTCTTAAGTGACATTATATGGCTCTTGGCAAACTTACCATAATAACCCTGTCTGTCATAATAGCTCTTCACTGCACATCACTGCAACAATTAGAAAACGAATAAAACAACTGCTGCTTACACTGCAATTTTGTCACTTTTTTCCTGGGGTGTAATATGACAAAAACGAACAAGTCCACTTAGTCCAGGTGATATGTGAAAATAATGTTCACTTTTAGTTTATACTTAAAACAATAAATATTTGTCCATGAGTTATCACAACTTCCCTTTAAATTAAGGTGACTTTTTTTTGCCAAATGGCAGATATTAGGTTTGTTTTGTTTTTTTATCATAAACTCACTTCAAACAAGACTTTATATTTCATGTCATTTTGTATCTCCAGTAAATGCATCTTGATTTAAGAATCTTTATGTTTTTGCACTGGAAAACAAGACAGAAATACGGAGGAAGAACATCACTTTTTTGCAGTGTGATCTGAAGCTACAGTAAAAGATATTTCCATATTCTAGTGTTTGGGAACAGAGTGTTTCAGTGCATTTTTGTAAAATGAATTAAAAAATGATCTGCTGGAAGTTGATCTATGCAATGATCTATGAATCTGCTGGAAGTTGTATTTTCAAACTCTGAAGTTTAATACAACTCTCCAGACATTTAAATTTACAGAACATATTTGTGTTTTTTCTAAATTGTTCCTCAAATTTGTTTTACTTGGTCTAAAAAAGTTACACGTAACTTACACGTTAAACTAAATGTTCAACTTGTTGCAGACACCACTGGTACACTGCCTGTGCCCTCGCTGTCCTCATCTCCTGGTTCCCATGTGGAGCCTCAGTCAGAGCCAGGTACGTTTTTGACAAATATGTTGTTAGAAATTTTCAGAATGCAGAAATGGATTAAATCTTTTTTCCTCCATGTAGGAACTACATTTATGCCACCTCTGCCAATGCTGGCCTCACCTGCGAGCACCCATACTGGACCTGTGAAGACTGGTGGCAGGGTGTTTGTACTGGACCTCAAACGCTGGACATCCCCAATAAAGGCCATTGACAACTTGTTTAATAGGATGCCCATTTTCCACAAGTTGATATGATTCTTTAGGGTCTTAATGAAAAGTCTGTAACATAGTTTGGTTAAAATTTCTTAATGGTAGTGTAAAAAACACCTTTTTTACCCTGTCAAAAGCAGCTCTTTTCAGATCAAGCCGTTTTTTGTAGCACTTTCCTTTAAATGTTAATAAGCTCTGCTGACCCCACCCCTCTCTTCCGAGCTGCTCTCAGAGAGACTGTTTACTTTAGCCGCACTTGCTAATTAGCACATTATTAGGAAAGGCGATTTGCAAAGATTCATTACAAAACATTATACTCACTTCTGTAGATGAGGCTGGATCATGAGTGATTCGTGCGAACATAAGACACATTTATGTAGATCGGGGGCACATTCCCTTCAGAAACAAATAATCCACTGCGAGTTCAGCGGCTCAGATGTC